GGGATTTGCATTTGCATTTGTAGTTTGTGAAGCTTAAATGGAGCTTGGCTTGGGAATGGTTTTAATATCCCAGGGAGTCCCTCTCCCCACTTAGAGACTCAAGCTGGGCACATTTTAGGATGAAGGTAAAAAATAAAATATCCAGCCTGCTTTAAGATCGACTTTTTATGCTTTATTCCTTTGCTTTTCCTCCTTCTATCACCTCCCTCCAACACTTTGATCTGGTGGCAATGGCATCTTTATCACTCTTATCAGGTCCCACGTTCTTGGCTGTTCTTTTGAAGTGTGATTTCCTGTGTCTAGTGGTCAAGAAAGGATACTGGGTACTGCAGATTTCCTGCTGCTTTTCCTCTGTATCTGCAAGTTTGCTTTCCTTCCTGTTTTTCTGCTTCATTTGTTTGTGCTTCCCTTTGCTGTCCAAACCTGCCTCTCCCCTCCACACAGGTTCTCCCCCACCCCTAGATCATTATCACTCATCTATTTTTCTTCACCAGCATCTCAGAATGATCTTTCCCTTTTCTCTGTTGTGCTTTATGCTTTCCATCTCTCCTTCCTTCTTCTTTTATCTGCTTCCTAAGCTTTTTTCAACTCTTTTTGACTCATGTTTTCTTGTCTTTCTGAGATGTTCTTTGGATGTCTTAGGCCATTGACTGAAGTGGAGAAAAGCCTGAAAATGAACCAGATGATCCTTTGGGATTTTGTCCAAAGCACGCTGGAGGCAGAAGCGACACTAATTGACTAATCAATGGGATTTAGGACAAATTCCTCATTCTTGCACCTCCTGAACATTTACTAGTCTTTCCAGCTCTCTTCTGATGGCAGTTTGCAATCTTTGACACGTTATTAGTTTGAAAGAAGATTTGCACTGAGAGATTTCTTTTTACTATTATTATTAAGAAAAATAAGGCTCTAAAGAGATATTTAGCTTTCACAACTAGTAAATGCGATTCCACATTTCACTACAAGCTCCAATTCTGTGTTGGGATTTTCCAAACCTGCGATGTATGAAATAATTCAGATGGTAAAACATTATTCAGGGGCCTCCCAATTATTCCCACAATACATATTTGGAAGACTGAATGGCATTGGGGCTGTTTTCTCTGCTTTTAAGCAAGTTTTTGCTCTCCACGCCAAGGTGGTGGTTCACTTGAAAAACAAACAGCAATGAGTTCAAGCTTTCTCATGCACCAGCGCTATCTGAGTGCATCCAGGCACAGGAGGAGTTAGGAAAACTTAATTTCAGCCACAATGTTGATATTTGGCAAATGAGTGGTTTTACGGTGCTTCATGCAGCTCTGTTATTTATTTATTTATTCTTACAGCTCCAGCACAGTGCCTTAATGGGTGAGCTGGGCTATCGCATTATCTTCTCTATCCAGCTGGGCACAGATTTGCATCCTGCTGCCACTGGGCAGGGTAGAATCTGAGCTTGCTTGCTGGGTACAGTGTAGCTTGCATACCCAGCTGAGCTGTAGCTTACCAGGGGATACTTCCCCTCTTGGAGGTACAAATGGCAGCTGCTTTAGGCGATAGGAGATGGCCTTGGCATATCCCTGCTCTGTCAGGGAACATACTGTACTTCACTCTCACCAGATGCTCATGGTGTATTATCATCCCATTTTCACTCTAGGAATCATTGGCTGAAAAAACACTAGGAAGGCTGGGGTGAAATGAATTCATATTTTATAACACAAGTTTATTGCAGCCTTTAAAATCTGATCTGAATCAATATCTTCCCATCCCAAGAAGACTTTCTTCTGAACTTTTCTGTTATTTCAGTCCATTAACTGACATGCTTAATACCCTGAATATATAAAGTCTTTGTTTCTCTTTTATTTTCAGAAGAAAAAAAATTTTTTTTGATTGTTATTAACCTATAGGTAAACAAATACAAGAACAAGAAGGAAAAGATAAAAAAAGGAAATCAGAAGAAAAAGAACAAATAAAATGAAATCAAAACTTCTGATTTCAGCTTAAATTTCTTCCCTCCTTTGACAGTTAGCAAAGCCCACAAGGAGTTATTCTGCAAGATAATACAGTCCGGGTGGAGGAAAAGTGAACGACTCTCTTTTTAATAGGAAGGTGGATTGCTGCCTGCTAAGGGTGTTTTCAAGCAGGGATTCTTTTCTGTTGTTGTAGCTGGGTAGCAGCACAAGACAAAAGGGGACATTGCAGCTTGCGAGCTTTCAGGACTGGGGGCTGAGGAGGAAAGGAGAGAAGAGCATGATTGATGGAGTTCTGGTTGGCTTATAAAGGGCAGCCGGGAGTGCAGGGAAATAATCAGGGAAAAGGGCGTCCCGTACTGGCTCTCTCAGAGGGGAGAAATGAATCCTGCACCTCTGCATTATTAAGTTGTCAGGCGGGCTGATGATGAAAATCTGAAGGTCAGGCATAACAAGAAGCACCTTATGGGGGGATCATGACCTTTCTGGAAGTGCTACACTCATGTTTATCTGCACCTAACCCTTATCCACAATTCTTCATTTGATAAGAACATTGGGAGAAGGGATGGGGAAGGGGAGGGGGGGAGGGGGGAGGAGTAGGGAAGTCCTCATCATATGTATAAGCAGTGTGTGAAATTAGGCTTCCTGTGAAACTGATTGTGGATGCTCAATTCACAGTGAAAGATAATAAACCAAAAGGACACACGAGGGATGCCGACAGAAATTGTTCACTACAGTGGAACTCAATAAAGGGAACAAGAGCTTTCCTAAATGACAAATTTGGTACAGTGGTGCTAAAATCAGGATTCTCCCTGGCACCACTGCAGCAATTTGCTCTCAGCTCTACCACTTTTTATTTACTTTGGAAGTCCTAATAATGTTAGAGAGTGGCTTTTTCATCTATTTATTTATTTATTTCTCTCCAGCAATGTTTATTCTTTAACTGCTTACTTTAAACCAAAGAGTCAAGGTGAAGGACAATGAAATGTTAGATTCCAATTGATTTTTCCTCTTTAGTTTCCATATCAGAAATGAGTATAAATATAAATATATTCCAGGGTTAGATGCCTGTCCTATGCATGCCTTATTGACTGCTTTAATAAATGTCATGACCCCTTCTGCACACACATGCACACACAAACTCACACATGCTCACAATCAAATAGAGGCATTGCTCAGATATAAATGCAGTAATAATGGCAATCACATGGAAAATATTCCAAACCTAAATCTGCTCTTAAAATGTGCTAATAAGATTTTTATTTCACCCCGATTTACAGCATCTTGACTTTGCTTTTCAAATCCACAGTGTACTTAAAGCATGACAAAGTACATTTGTGGAAAAGTGAAGTCAAACAAGACTTCATAATTATTGCAATATATTCACTTTTCATGCATAATCCTTTAAATTAGCAATACAATATATCACCTCTACTGCCACTAGAGGCTAATGCACCTCTATTGAAAGCTATGTTAAGGAAAGTTATGTCCTATCTTGAAAAAAGCACATAACCTTCCAAAATATTAAATGACAGTAGGTTCCAATCCTGTAATTCTTGCATACTCAAGTAGCCTCATTAGCCTTGATTTTCTTACATCAATGGACAATAACCTATTAACTTTAATGGATTTACTAATATGTACTGATGTGAGATCACAATCAGTACCTTTGGGACATCATATTTAAGGATTACCAGACCAGCAGGAAAAAGAATATGATGTATAAACTAATGAATACTTTTATTAGTTGAATAGAATAATACTAGAACCCATCAACTGCTTTTGAAGTGACTCTTTAATGAAGACGTGACACTGAAAAATACTACGTTGTCGATATAGCACATAAAGAATCTCCTGTATCAAGTTAAAATGAAAGAAAGTTTTTCTATTTCTATTGTTTAAGTGATCCAATTTATCTACTTTTTTTTTTTTCTTTTGGCCTCCCATATGCTTCCTGTTGCTGTGGTCTACTATTGTCTACAACCTTTGGTAGCCTATTAATAAGCAACAACAACCCGTGTATTCTATAGTGACTTTCATCTGCAAATCTGGTACTGATCAACAGGGGAGGTCAATACAACTTATTGCTGAGGAAACTGAGGTATAGGAAAAGAAGTGACTTGTCCATAGTCTATGAGCATACTAGTGATAGACCCTAGGTCATCTGGAATAAAATTTGGTGGCCTCCTCATTTTTAACTTTTTTCTTTAGGCTCCACTCTTTCTAGAGCTGAGCTATGATTTGAATTTGAATTAGATATTGGGATGAATTTGGGGGAGCAGAGCCATATGCGCTTGTAGAAGACAGTAGAAATCTTTGCGGAGTACAGTAATTTAGGGTGAACAGTAGCTGGAAAAGGCAGGTTGCATCTTAGCTCCATTGGAATTCCATTTTAATTAGCAATATTTGCAGCAGGTTTGGAATGTGGAAGTCCATAAGAATGTAGAAAAATACTTTCAAGTTCATTGTGTGGAGAGATTTTCCTCTTTGGGCTATGAACTGCTCCAGTTTTTCTACACAGTTTCAGTGAGTCTCACAGCCTTTCAAGGAAAATGGGAACTGCTAGGTGGCTGGCCCATTCAGATTACATGACCATTCTCAAAACCTTGGCTTCATAACTAAGTCTCCACATCTACTGTGATGTGATAATCATGGAAAAATAAATTTATCTTGGCTTACGTGTATTCACTCAGCAGTGTACTTATTTTATCTGTATAATGTGAGCCTCCCACAATATCACTTGGAAGCAAAAGCAAAATACAAGTAACTATGTAAAGTTTTTTCCTCCTCCTCCTGTCATCAGAATTGAAACTGGCTGATAGATGAGACAGAGACATGATCTCATAACATGGTTTGTTAGAAACTGAAGCTAACTGATAATCTATGTTAAAACTTTTGGTCAAATCAGGTTTTCTTACAGATTTCAGAATGTGCATTGTTTTATACATTTATATAAAATATTCTCATTATTGTTTACTCTAAAATCTCATGCTTACTTTAAAATCTCATGCTATATATTAACAAACATATATATATTTTCTTTTATTTTCCTTTCAGGTTACCAGAAAACGTTGTAATGTTGATACTACTTGGGAAGGCTTTGACTGTCCAGCATCCGTACTGACAGCATTAATTAAAGAAATTCTGAGCCAGTAAAACAGGGTAAGACACCAATGTGAGAAAAACCTACAGCCAACACATCCCCAAACCCAGAGTTAGGTTTTGTTTAATGTAGAAGACAAAAGTCATGAAAAGAAGGTTATTCAACTGCTGGTAGCCAAATGTCCAGTGGTAGGTCTTAAACCTAGTGATTCAGAGCTTAACAGTGAAGAAGTCTTTTTCTTTACACTATCCAGAAGGATGAATGATGGTTTCCAATTGAATACTTCTAAAATTAGATCTGACTAGTACTTGGTGGGAAAGTTCACCTCACCTAATGGATCATTTTTAGGCCAAACGCAGCTTTCATTGAAGGCAATGAAAATGCTTTCATTGACTTCAACAGATTTTGATTTGGGTCTCTATCAAGTAAGCTACATGTACGTTCTGGAGAATCAAGGAAAAAAACATTTATATGGTAATTTGTAGTGGTTTTGAAGTTCTTTTAGGGATTACAAAAATAAGCTAAATTTTTTGTTCAAACCTGAGATTTTATACCCTATTAGTCAATAACATGGACTGAAACTTTTCATACTGTCCAAAAAATACTAGATACATTTAAAAATAGCTCCTGAGGAAGGAGAGCCACCTACCATTTCCACTGTTTTTCAGCTGCACAAAGTGTTACTATACTGCTTTAGTGATGACTATTTTTACTCTTTGTTTACAAAGCCTGCATTGGAAGGTGCAATAATCCCCTAACCTCAATGCAAATCTCAGAGGGTTGAAGGCTGGCATGGAGGATGCCAATCCAGGTGTGGTGCTTTCTGCAGAGCACGGTAGAAGTTATGGATGAGTTATAGGGTGGCAGAAGCACACACATTGCATGGCCAACTTGCAGCTAAAAATGGCTTAATATCAAAACACAGCATTTTACAAGCAGGCAGTTAATCCTTCATAGGGGCCAGGTGCCTGTTTTGAATACGGAGGGACAAATCTGATGGGGGAGACTTTTATTTTCCTACCCATTTCTTCCACAAAATAAATAGAGAAAAAAAAAATCAGTTCCTTGTTTCCTCTTAGCACTTCTTAAATCTCTGCATCTCCAGTCATCCTATTTCTCTTGCCAGTCTATTTCTTTTCTCTCATAATGTCTCCTCTTGTTGGTGGTGTTTCCACCCATGTGGTTGCAGCAAGTTTAACCTTTCATGGAGTCAGCAGTTGGTGTTTGTGTTATGCTGCTCATTACAGAGGGTCCTTATACATTGTGGTCTCACTCTTGAAAACCCATGGTCTTGATTTTCTTTTTGGCTGTTTTTACTTAGTCAACAAAACTGTATAAATCCATTCAAACTGAAAATGCTATTGCTATTTGTACATAGGATGAAATTCTATACGTTTGCCAAGAATGTGAACATCAAAAAGGTCAAGAATATTTAAGCAAAAAATACTGAAGGCTGTCTTGTTGTTGTCTTATGGTTTTCCATGATACGTAATCTCTACTATGCTGGTCTGTATAGATGAAGCTTTCTGTCATGAAATTTTATTCTCTGTTACTTAGAGATAAATTTAGACAGCTTCACATTGCTGAGCAAATCTAAAAGAATTCTAATAAAACAGATTAATGTTACATCCCTGATGGTGAGTTGGTGAGCCTTTGCCTGGATTTCCTAGACCTTTTGTCTGTGGGACAGAGAAATCCTGTTTCTATTTTCTAAATAACTGTTACTTCTATCATTTATTTTTTTCCAACTGGAGTACAATGTTAACTGAGTCATTCTCCACATGCCATTTCCTAGATGAGGACTTGCTCATGGCCACAGACCTAGTTAGTGCTGAGATAAAAATTTGGTGTCCGTGTCATACAGGGATTTATATTAATACCAAAGAGAACGAATCTGAATTAGATATAAGAAAACATGCATAGAGACTGTAGGATAAACTATTGAAAAATCACTGAAACCTGTCTGGCTTTTGCTTCTGTGGTGGAAGTCTGGAATTTCTACAATGTTTTCTCATGGAAGATTACTTGCTGGTCATCCTTAGAGGACTGGAATACTTTAAACAGCAGTTTCGTTATAGTGATTTTACTGGGCATTATTTTTACTATGGAAAGTCCTTTAAAATTAATGGGAATTGATTTCAGTGGCCTTTGACATATTACTGAAAATAATACGGCAAAATACAACCTTTTCCCTCTTACTGCTACGTAAAGGCTTTAACTGAGAAAGCAGTTTACAATGGTGCCCCCATGTAAGGCTTTATTCAAAAGATTTTACGCTTGATAACATCTGAGCCATGGGAGCTGTATGTGGGGTTTAGCATCTTAGCAGCTGCAATTCTTAATCCTGATTCCGTTGCCTCCATATTAAAAGCTCCATGGTCACAGGACACCAGCTTTGGCTGTACTACATTGTCATTCATTCCTCCCCACCACACGCGTGCCTGACCATATAGGAAAATGAGTTTACAACTGACTACGCCTATGGGACTCCCGGAGGGATACAATGTGAGAGCCTTTACTAGTGGAGGATAGTTCTCAAAAGGTCTGAAAGTTTGGTAAGTACATCCTTAACCAAACTCTTTTGACCTTTATTCAGATTTGTTTTTGGAGAAGGGCAAAGGGTTGGGCCAATTCTTGTTTAACCCAACTGGCTTGTCCATCTGCAGGCTGTAATTAATCACTAAATCTCTGCCATACTTTGCTTTGGAGGCTAGGTCCCAATACAGCAGGGCACTAAACTTTAAGCACGTGAGTAATTCTTTAAAGTCAAAGGGATTACTCTTCTGCTTAAAGTGCATATACTCATGTGCATATTTAATTGCTTTGCTTGATCAGACCTTGAGGAGTTAGGGAGCACGTGTCCTTGTACAGCAGTGCCAAGTTGTTCACTTTGCCTTTGCATTGCTTTTCTTGTTGCCTGGGAATTTTCTATACAACAGCAGTGCAGAGAGAGACAACAGGGTACAGTCTGGGGCGGAACTTTATCTGCTCCCAAAATGGGGGAGTGAGAACTCAGTTTTTGGTTATGCGGACTTTTACAAAAAGCAGCAGTTTCAGAGTTTGACCAGTCCCAAAACTGGAAGGGGGAAAGAAAGTTTCCTATTCTTATTTACTTTCATTTCATCTGGACACAGTGCATGAGTAGCTTGTTTTAAGTCATGCATTTATGTCTTACACATTTCAGACTTTTGCAGTAATTGACCATGTTTCTTCAAGCCTGATTCCGAGCTTGCACAAACAGGTAGTGATAGCAGTTTTACACCATTTGAAGATTTGTCTCCTTAGGAACAAACAAGCCTTGTAAACATGCTTTTTGTTTTGCGAAATGCAGAGATCAAGCAGCTGAACTACATCACACGGGCTGAAACCTCACCAGAAAAAACTGTAATACTAATTTTAAAAAATACTTTTTTTTTTTTTTTTTTTTTTTAATGAAACTAACCTTGCTGAGTGTACATCAAGGGTTTTATTACTGGCTCTACATATTAAAGTAATTGTGTAATTAGTAATACATTTGTAACTCCTTTACCGAGGAAAAAGTAAAACATGCACTGCTTTTGTGTAAATCTTGACAGTGGTGATTTTTTTCCTGAGAATTATACCATTATATCATAAAAGTGTCAAGGCATGAGTTTACTGTTCCTACTAATATTCTAAAATATTCTCTTAGGCTGACATCTCTGTCAATTAAAATTAAACAAAATTGCATTCTGCCATATACACTTCAAATAGGAAGCTTTCAAGTTTATGGCTGTTCTTTGAATTGATTTTTAAGATGGCATCTGTAAAACTTGGCTAGTACAAGATGAGGTAGGATGTAGTTAAGGTTCAGTCAATTTTAAAAATGTTTTAAAGATCGTAAATTGACAACTGAAATAGACTGAGCATCCTTGGGATTTTGGGCTGTCAAATATAAATCCTTTTTTTTTTTTTTTATCTAAACTGAGCTCTTGCAAAGTGAAAATTTTATGAAAACATGTTCTTCCCCCCCTTTGATATTTTTGCAATAAGTTACACAAACAAGAGGGCTTCTGGTGTTGTTTCCAGTTGCTTGGTCTCGCGGGATTTGGAATTCTTCTTCTCCTGGTGTTTCCCACAGAAATAGAGTGAGAACGTGCTTTCTCACGGGACTGTATTTCTCATGGAAAATAATAGGGTTGCCGGCAGCAAACGTTTTCTGCAGTGATACCCTGCCAATAAAGTCTTCAGGGAAATTATTGCCCTCAATAAGATGAAGACTAGTAAATTGGAACCCCCCATCCCTACTCCACAAAGATATGTCTTTAGGAAGCTTTCTCCTTCTATTATTCCCTGGAAACCCTGACCCCAAGAAAATGCTGTAGACAGTAATGCTTGGTTTACACTTAATTTTGTTCCCCAGAATAAAGATGTCATTTATGTGTGTAAAAAAATAAAAAAATAAAGAACAATCCCCCCAACATACACCCCAACCAATATATTTATGCCAGTAAAAGCCCTCGTGTAGACAGTTATGCTGAGAAAAGTTATTTTACAGCTTAGCTTTATTTTGTTCAGGGAACTGGTTCAAACTATAACAAACAAAGCTCCTTTTTGCTGTTCAAAACTGCATCCACTAAGAAGGAGATTTTTGATGCATCAAACCCTTGGAGGTGTAAACTTGTCAAAGATGTGTTGAATGCATTCTAATATCTGGAAGCCAAGAGAAATTTGCCACATTAGGTTTTATTATTATTCTGAGAGGCAGAAAAACCTGGTTTTGCTAGGTCTCCAATTCCATCACAACCCATAATATTGCATATTAAAAATAGACTTTGTTCTTTTAAAACACACATTTTTGGTAGATGATCTCCTGGCCTGAGGGAATTCAAAGTCAAGCAATGTGCTTTCCACTGTTGGAAGTGCAACAGGTCTCTGTGTGTGGAGTGTCTAGGAAAATCTGATCATTCTTAGAGAAATATTTTCTGGGGAGGAGAAAAAAAAAAAAGAAAAAAAAAAAGAAGTAAAAAGCAGAACTTTCCCCATGGAAATGTGCACTGAAAGAAATGCAGGTGTTAGTCATGCAGGAGTTCATGTCAAGAGAAATATTTCCCCAGGGTCCCATGAGAGGAAAGGGGAAAGGGGGGTTATGGGGTGCCTGACCCAAGGAGTAGGGGAAAAAAAGCAGAGGCTGGTGACAGAAAGACCTTAATTCATGCACCATGCGCTTGAGTGATATGTTTACTTTCAACCTTCAAGTCAAATTCAAGCAGCAGCCAAAAACCACAGATCAACACATTTTTAGTACAAAGTGAAATTAGGGTCATTGGCACCCTCAGTGCTCCACCAATTTCTGAAACAACATTAAATCCATATTAATACTTGCTTTTATTTAACCATGTCAGAGGAGATGGTAATTATGGGTAAGTAGGAAGGTTGGGATGAAACCAAATAATTGCTGCTGAAGGAGGTAACATAAGCACAATTAGTTGAGAGGGTTATTTTTAGTCTTGAAGGAGAATTTAAAACCAGTTCTGTTCTGGTTTAAATCACTTACTAGCTTGGAACGTAATGGAAAAATAACAGTGAATAATCATAATCCATCTAAATCCATCTTCATGCTAATAGACAGATTTTTTTATTCTATTATTTATTTATTTATTTATTTATTTTTAGGCTACCATTATCATAATTTAAAATAATCAATATCATTATCATAATGGGTTTGGGGTCCTTAAGGATTCTCATGTTTTCTTTAGACAGGTGGCAGCGATACAAACGGGATGTCATCCAGTAGCAGCTTGTGCGGACCAAATCATGGACCCCTCCCAGAGGCTTGGGGCAAGAAGAGGCTTTCAAACCTTCTCCATGGATCTGAAAGGCCTGCTTAGTAGCAGCCTGAATGAAACCCCTTCTTCAAGCAGCCAGTGTTAGCTGCAGAGGAGTGGAACTGCGCTCTTGGCCCATTCAGGGGCAGACTGTGATTTTATTCAGTCAATAACCCCACAAAATTAAAGGGTAATGTTTATGCCACGTCCTGATTACTGATACCATTCATATCAAGTATTATTTTAACTTCATTAAATTAAAAAACATAAAGTAATTTTATTCTAAAAGTGATCTGAAAAATAAATACATTTTTCTCAGTAACTCCAGTGTAGCCAAAATGGACTAATAGTTAAGGAAAACAGCTATGCAAAGTTTTTTTTTTTTTTTTGTGTCATCTTTTCACATTTGTGTGAAGGTCTTAGTTTTAGTTTTATTTCTGTTGGGTCAGCCATCTGTGCATTTTATTGCCTGTTCTGTGGAACTTTGCAATGTCTTAGTGAAGAGCAGTAGGTAAGCACTGAGGACAAAAATGAGTAGATATAAATGCCAGAGAAGAGAAGAGAAGAGAAGAGAAGAGAAGAGAAGAGAAGAGAAGAGAAGAGAAGAGAAGAGAAGAGAAGAGAAGAGAAGAGAAGAGAAGAGAAGAGAAGAGAAGAGAAGAGAAGAGAAGAGAAGAGAAGAGAAGAGAAGAGAAGAGAAGAGAAGAGAAGAGAAGAGAAGAGACACAAGAAGTAATTTCTCCATTTCTTTTTCCTGATATTGAGCTGAACTGAGGAAATTGCTTTAAGTACATAAAGTGATACAATTACTACAGTTGGGTCTTTGTTTAATTTTCAAATAGACAGTTTAGTACACTGAATTCAGAGGTTATTAGTTATGGACTTTCCAGCCCTTCTCCTCGAGGTCATTAAGTTCAATATTATCCCAGGTTGGATTTCTGAATATCCATTGTGAACAATTTATCTAATAAATTCATACCTTCTAATAAATTCATACTTTTTTTTTTTTCTCCTTGTGACTTACCTATTGACAAATTGAAATTTTTACAAATATGATCACCATTCAAAAGTACTTGGCATGTGTTTTGTGTGGTCTGACTTCAGCTTGTGGACTAATGACAGACTATCCACCATGACTGTTGCTTTAAGTATTTCCTATTCATGATGCCTGATTAAGATGCATAGCTACATTTCTGTCTTTATTGGATGACACCCATATTGCAAAGAGCTTTCAACTGACCTCCTAAACCTTTTGGTGAAAATATATATGCATGAGCATCCACAAGACTCTACTGCAGCTTTTTTTTTTTTTTTTTTTTTTTTTTTTGTGGGCAAAGTTTCATGCAGACAAGTGTTAATAGAAAGTGCCTGATCAAGAACAGAAATAATATCAAAGAGGAAATTTATTCACACTGATGTTCTTAAATGCTATTTTTGAACTGTTTCCCTAGTTATTGAAGTGAGCAAAAACCATTGTGTGAAAACTTCCCATGTGAAATAAATGTGTAGTTTCACTCCTGTTCTTAGTGAATATAAGAAATGCAATCACAGTATCCATGAGTAACTGAATAACTTTGAAGCAGTCTCCACAGCAAAGTCACAGGATACTTGGCATTCAGTGGCATTCACCCAGGCCATATTACTCCTGGGTGTAGTACAGGCATAACTATGTAGCAATATATTAAGGCTCCTACACTGTCATTTCAGGTGGAGTACTTTTAGTAAGGATGTCAATCTCTACATCTATTAACCTTTAACCAATTAATTTCACTTTAATTATTTTTTTTAATTAAAAAAAAAAAGAGAGAGAGACAAACCCCAAATCACTTCCGCCCAGAGATAAGAAATGACCAAACATCATCATGTAGTTCTAATGCCAAAGAGAGAACAAGAATGCAGTCAAGGGCCAAAATTTGGCTCATTTAATTACACCTGCACAGTATTCCAATAGTATGCCTTGGTGATAGGTGATTTTAAGTCTAAAGTGCTTTGAAATAAAGCTATTAAATGCATACGGAGACATTGATTGATACACTTGAGTTATGGGGTGGGGGGGAGAGTGGGGAGAGAGATGAAAAAGCAAAGGACTTTTTCTTCTCTGTAAGAGTGGATTTGGAATCTTCAAGGGCATAGGGATGGTAAACGATTGCTAAAAGTCCAAATTAAGAGGTATTAGCCCATTGTGCAGCAGTCAGTCACATCATATTCGCATTGCTGTTTTCTTGTCGGAGGTTTTGCCTTGATCTATCCTGGACCACATTGACAAGTCACAATTGAAGCATTCTAAATAATCCACAGTGAAATAAGGCATAGGGTGTCACTCTCTAGGCTACAGAAAGCCTGAGCGCAGTGAAGTTAGAAAGGGTAGCAAAGCCCTTTTCAGTCATGTTTCTCAGCCGATTAAACTCATTCAGGGCCAGGCTGCTGGAACGAAAACAGAAAGATCACCTCCTGTTCTCCAGTGTTTTGTTGGCAACAGCAGACAGATGTAGAAAAGTAGAAACATTTTTACTATAGCAACAAAAGGGAAAGGGGTGGGAGGCAAATGCAGGAAAAAATAAATAAATAAATAAATAAAAGGGGGGAATTTGCAGGCTTGTTAATGTCCCAGATACTTTGGGGTAGTACTCTAGGTTAAGAGTGGTTGTCAGTGCAGACTGAAGTTCAAAAGATTCATATGAAATGTGTGTTCAGTGCAAATCTGTGTCCTCTTTTCTCCCCCAAATCCTCAACTGGTACAGTAATTAACCGTAAGAACAGATTGACACATGGTGATGCAGTTCATTAACATTTTTTTTTGTTGTTTGTTTGGCTTTTCAGCAAAACCCATTTAAGAGTGATGCCTTCTTTAAGAGTATCCCATCCACCCATGCAGCCACAGTGATGTGACATATTGTGACACAAAATGCCACAGAAAATTAAGCTGAGCCCTCCAACTGAAGACTTGATTTAGCCATACATTCTCCACAAGTCACCATTTAAATTAACTGTTGTAGTTTCAAGACAGAAAAATGATAATTCATCTAGTGTAAGTAGTTGTGTAGAAACAGTTTGCTGCTACTGGAAAAAATCTGCATAGTATGTTCTTAAAATATAGTATGTTTTCTTTCCTATGGATAAAGACAAATAAATATAGTTGCAAGAAATGCAGCACATTTTTAAGAGGTTGGTACAATGATTTGTCTCTTCTGCATGTTATGCATTTATGCATACTCAACATACAGTCTCTGCAAATGCATATTTACATGTATAAATATGAATGCATATATACATCCAAATATATTTAATTAAAAGGTTTTTCTAACTTTCAGTATAGAAATGCCCATACACATATGGCCTGTGAATAAATAAAAATAAATTCATTTCTGTGCAGGTAAAAAAAAAAAAAAAAAAAAAAAAAAAAAAACACATCTAAAGGAAATATGGGAATGATTCCAAGCGATTAGGGCAGTAAAATGGGGGACCCATGTCCCAGCTCCTTCTCTAATAAAAATGTTCTGTTTAAAATAATAGTTACAATGGCAATACTGAAAAAGAACTTTTCCTTACAAAGACCTGTGGTTCAGGCAGTCTTCAGATGTGGTTGACTTAGATTTCACTTCTGAAAAAAAAAAAAAAAAAAAAAGGATTTATACTGAAGTTTTCCTGTCTCCCAAATAAATTCTCTGGTGATGAACATATTCAATCTAAACATTAGCCCTCACAAAGCTGAACATTGCCCCAGCCTTGGAGTATTTAGCTCCTTAGAGAATTTGGCCATTAACCTTGGTGTTTACATTAGTGTTGAGCCCTTTTGAAGATTAGGTCTTTGGAGGTGATAGTATAGTTAAATGTTTCTGGAAAATTTTACTTTAAATTCCTAGGTCTCTTAAAGATCTTGGATCTAAGATCTACTTCTTTTGACTTAGGTGCTTTTGGGTTAAAAAAAAAAAAAAAAAGAAACAAAACAAAACAGAAAGAGAAACAACTGCCCTCAGCCTCAAAGCAAGCAGTAAGTGCCACGCAGGAATCAGCTGCTGGAATGGGCAGGGGATGCAAGGAGTTTCTGCACCAACCTCTCACTGTTGTTAGGATAACAAGTTCTGACCCCTCGGAAATCAGAGGAGGTTTCCCCGAGGGCACATAAAATGATGTCAAGCACTTTTGCAGGTAGTCTAGCCTACATCTGAAGCACTTGAGTGTTTATGGGCAATGACTAGTCTAGAGATTTTTAGCGAGCTCCTGTCTTTCTGGGCTTAGATCTTAAGTTTGATCTAATGGCTAGCAGCCCCTAACATTATACACCTTTTTATTTTTTTTTATTATTATTATTTTTTTCAATCCTCATTTCCCCAAACCTTAGAGACTTGCAGAAGCTGTGCTGCTGTGCATTTGCAAGAACTGGTCTAAAATAATGTGATCATTTATCACTGGGTTGTGTTTTTTTTGCCATGCTTTAAAAATTTGTGTAATATATATCAGGTGTCTATGGATTTTGGCATGGTGTTGGGTCATCTAAGCGATTTGGCATTGTTTAGACTGCAAAATAACACGCAGGGTCAAGAGCAGTCAATACTGGTCCTATAAATTATTGTCTAGACTCTCATAAATTGTCCTCTAATTTGTGGCTTGAAAAAGAAGAGATATCAGAAGCAAAATCTCTTTGCTTCTGCAACTGCACCTGTATTTTTAATACAAAGGACTGTCCTTTCCAGCAGTCTTCTGAGGGATTTGCTTCTAATGTTCATGTTAGGCCGAAGTCCTAGGGCCCAGGGTGACTTCTGATGTGCTCCTACAGGGAAATGTAAAACCAAATCCCCAGGCAGAATTTCAGACAGACACTCATTTTATTTACTCATATTCATCTCCTCTGGAAAAAAAAAAAAAAAAAAGAGAGAGAGAGAGAGAGAAAATAGCTTTCTTAATCCCAGTACTAACACAATATTGATTCACATTCATGTTCAGTATTTATTGACGTGCATTGCATACAATGGAGGCTATCAATTAGGCTACTCTTTTCGAGGGAAGGGGCAATCGCATTAGAAAACAGATGAAGCTCATAGTTTATATAGTCCTAATTTTATGTAATGTAAACCTTTCAAACCCTGAGCACATGATAGTGAAAATGCATGTCCTGAGGAAAAAAAAAAAAAAAAGGCAAAAACCAAATGGATTTACTCTCCAGCTAATTACTATGGGTGACTATCTATCCATAGAGTCATACCATTATTTCTTGAAATTCTCTAATGAAATAAAACTTCTCTTACGACAAGCTGAATTTCTATGTATTTTATTAACTAACGTAAATACATTTGTATAATAGCTTAGCACAATATTTTGTTTTGTGAGTGGACCAGATATATGAAATTTTATAAGTGGTGTGTAATCTTGCCCTGTTCATTGTGTACATTTAAGCAAGGGTTCAGTACATTGAGCCCCTATTAAAGATCAATGTCAAGGAGAGCATAACGGCATATGGGCAGTATTCAGGAGGCCAAGTTGTTGCATGCAAAAATCAAATATAAAACACTCTTTTTTTTTTTTTGCCCATTGGAGGTTTTATTGCATGGTCGCAGCTGGATTTACACTGTATTTAATAAAACATTAGTAGCCACCAGGGATTTAAATATGTAACGTAATTCTTTTTCAGTAAAATAATTCCATAAATCCAAATATGAAGGTTTTTTTTTTTTTTTTTTTTTTCCAAGTGCTGTATGACCATAATTACATTAAAACCTATGTATGGCTTTTTTTTTTTTTTTCCCTTTTTTATTTTTTTCACTGTGAGACTTAATGGAAGCAAAATCCATCTGAAAAGTTGATTTTGGATACATATTCACATTTTTTGGAGGTGATGTAGGTCTGGTGGCTAATAAGTTTTGGGGAGAAACAGGGGTGCTGACTCTCCAACCTGGCGTACCTACTTTTAATACAGACCTGTGGCAAAATGAAGGCCAGTATTACAGGGGCAGGTGAAGACAGTACACACGGAAAAAAGTGCAGAATAGGTGTAATTTCTCTCTAACTCTGTGGTTCCAGCTGGCATCTGAGAATGAATACACTGCAGCCATACAGCCCCGGCCAGGTAGCCTTTACCTAGAATGGTAAACAAGGTGACCTAGTCAAATTATCATTGTATATTAGGTTTTCGTCCCTCAGAAGTTTTCTTAGTAAGAAGTTTTCATAGTAAGATAGCTGTGAAAAAAAAAATCTATATTTTATTTAGCAAATTTAATATATTTTGAGGCATCCTGAATATTTATGGTGAAAGACGAAAAGACATGGTTGGACACATCTTCAGTT